CCCCAAAACCCCAAAACCCCAAAACCCCATATAAAATTGCAAAATTGCGATTTCATAAATATTAAATAATTTATATAATATTAAAAGATGAGAATAGGTTTTGCCCTGATATTCGCTACATTGCTAGCATTCTCGGTACTTGGTAAAAGAGACATCTCTTCCAACAAGTTCGGATCTCTCGAAGTTACACAAGAATTTGATGATATCGTTGAGAAAGAAGTCTTCTTCTCTGATGATAGTCTTTACTTTGATGATGAAGTCAGATCGGATTTCCTAATGGATTCCATTGATCAAGCTAAGGTTCATATGAACACCAACCTGAAGGAAACTATTTACAAATGCAAGGACAAGGATTGGGGATCAAAAGAAGAGTTCCAGTTCCTCCCAGTCTTCGTTGGATCTCTTATGACTGATGAGACTGTTGTCGAGTATGAGGGAACTTGCTTCGAGAAGATGACATTCACAATGAAGCATAACTCGGATAATTCAGTTAAAGTTTCTATTGATGCTAGGAAAAAGAAGAGCACTTTCTGTAAAGAAGCTTTGTTCCTTTCCACCACAATGAGACACCATGTTGAATACTTGTTCTTGGAGAGAACTCATCATCTGACTCTGAAGAACCTTGACGATGATGACATCATCGATCTGAACTTAACCGGGCTCAAAATGTATCTCTTCTGTGATGGAGTTATGGATAGTTTCATCTCTGTGTTCAATACTGCTAAGTTATTCCTCGGAGGGCTTGGAGATAATCCAAAATTGCCAATTATTGGATCCCATGTGCCAGAATATATGGAGAAAGCTAATGTGCATTTCATTAAAGAAGCCATTGGTTGGGATATGCAAAAAAGAGACGTCACTTATGTAGATCTTGATGAGTCTGAAATTCACGATGGTGATTACTTTGCTATTACTAGACTTGATGGGCTTGATGAAATTATCATGTGGGGAACTGGAGGAAGAACTGGACACTCAACAGTTGCTCTTTGGATTGACGGAGAACTTCATGTTATTGAATCCCAAGATGCTTGGTATTGGCCTAAACATAACATTCAAAGAAACACTTATAAACAGTGGGTCGAGTGGGCTAGGAACTGTGACTTTAATGTAGCTATTCTTCCATTGAGAGATGAACTCAGAGCTAAGTTCAACAACACTGCTGCTTTGGAATTCTTCGAGACTGTTGAAGGCATGCCATATGGATACCATAACTTCTTGTTCTCCTGGATTGATACAGTTGATAAGAATTATCCTCCAGTTGCTCCAAAAGAACTCATCCCAATTGTTTTAGACATCTTTGCTCAGATTATGCCAGCAACTATTGATACTTTCTTCACCCAAGCAATGAATCAAAGATTGGGAACATCAGGACTTAACTATAGACAAGTGATAGTCGAAGCTGCACTCAGAAATACCACCATGCTCGAACTCATGGCTCAACCAGAACTTGATGGCTGGATGTATTCTGATGGCTACAGTTATGTCTGCAGTTGCTTTGTTGTTGCTATCTGGAAAGCTGCCGGAATCTTTGGTGATCTCGAAATCAACGCTGTTGAGTTCACTCCCAAGGATGTGTACCAACTCAATGTGTTCAACACCACAGCTGCCATTTCAGAGAAGTGCAAGAGCGCTGACCCAACTCTGCCATACTGCCAAATTTTGGGCAAGTACAGAATGGAGTTGAATGGGTATTCAAGCGTTGACATGTACAGCCACATGAATGAGAACTGTGAATCAGAGTATCCAGACTACATTAGAAATGATGGCTGCTAATCAATTCTTATTGGTCGTTCAATCAAGTCTGAGTGTTATGGGGTTTTGGGGTTTTGGGGTTTTGGGGTTTTGGGGTTTTGGGGTTTTGGG